GGGGGGGTTTTGCTGTTCCATAGGGCAGGCACTCTGATAGAGAAGACATGTCTCCTGGGTCCAGTAAGATGGCACTGTTTAATAGATGGGACCGTGGACCAAGCAAAGATAATCGGAGATAAGCATTCCCACAAATATCCAGGCCCTGTGCCATGAAGGACTTCAAAGGTCACCACCACACTTTGAATTGTACTGGTAACCAGGGCAATTCATGCAGTAGTGGTGTCACATGGGGACACTCCCATAACTACTCACACTTCCACAGTCTGGACCAGCTATATTTTCCAGCTGTTTTTCAAGGGCACCTAATGTAGAGCATGGTGCAATTGTCCAAATGAGAAGTAGGTAGGGTGTGAATGGCTCTCAGGAGGGCCTCCTGATCCAGGAATGGGTGCATCTTGGTGCACAAGATGGATTTGGGCAAAGCCACAGCTGCCACCTGCTCTTCCAGCAGAAGCCAGGAGTCAAGGAGGACCTCCAAACTGTATACCAGTTCCGTCTAGAGTAGTACAACTTCATCTAGAACTAATGGTAGAAGATCTCCAGAGTTGGGTGGTCCCTAAATCCACAGTCCCTTGGTATTGCTATGGTTGACTCTAAACCTGTTCATCTACTTCCAGACTCCCTCCACACATGGGATAAAACCTTCACAGCATCACCTGGACAGCCCAGGGTTGAGATATACAGCTGGGTATCATCAGTGTACTTATGATACTTAACTCAGTGCTACTGGATGACTTCACTCACTGCCTTCATGTAGATCTTAAAAAGGAAGAGAGACCATCAAATCCTGAGACACATTACATAACAGAGATCTAGAGCTAGATCTCTTCTTCACCCAGCACCAACTGAAATTGGCCCTGGAGGAAGAGATCCACCACATGTCCCTCCCCCCCCCCAACTTCCAGTGCCCTGAGTTGGTCTGAAAAGATACCATGATTAATGGTATTGGAAGCTGCTGAGAGATCAAGGAGGGCCAAAACAGATGCACTATCCCCATTCACAACCCCGTGTGATCAATGCTTTCTCAGTACTATGCCCAGGTCTGAAACCTGACTGGAAGGAATCCAGATAATCTGCTTCCTCCACAGCCCTCTGAAGCTTCAGACCAACACCTTCTCTAAACCCTTCCCCAGGAAGAAAGGTTGGAAACCAGTCAGAAAATATTCACAAAGTTTGGTCCAGGAATGATTTCTTTAAGAGGGATTTTATTAAGTACTGAGTGAAGTACATCCCTTCACTCGAGGATGAATTCACCACCTCTTGGTTCCAACTACACATCATCTCCCAGGAGACTTTGACTAACCAGGATCTAATCAACAGATGGCTGCATTCACAGCCTCAAGGATCCTATGCACTTTCTCAAGATTCAGACATTCAAGCTCATTCCAGATAACCAAGCCAAAACATGCTTCAGTCACCTCAGCAGGACCCGCACAATCACAGAATCCAGCTTAAAGCAGATCCAAGCAACTTTATCCATCAGATATCATGAATAATCCTCACAATGGCCCTGCAGATATTCCTCTTACCCTTCTGTCCCTAGTAGGGACTGGGTCACACTAAACAGGGCTATCAACCAGCACTGTGTGGATGCAATATGAGCAAAAAAAAAATAGGAGCTGAATCTTTCTCCATCACTGGTGATGGGTCAATTGTTGACACCATATTTAATAATGTTAGCATATTACTCTTAGTGTTTTAATTAAGTAAGATTTTGATTGATGTTGTATACATTCATTATTGTGTGGATTTTTGTGTTGGGTTTTATACACAGGTTCTGTGGGCTACCTAGAGTATATCTGGTTTCAGGTGGTAGACAAATCTCATAAACAAACAAACAAGCAAACAAACAAAGGGACATCATCTTCTACTCCAGCTGAAGACAGCAAAGGAGCTTCAGAGGCATGAGAGAAGCTGCATGGAACATAACTCTCAATCCAAATCTCTCCTGTCTAAAAATTGCCATGCATCAGGGCTTCATTCATCTAAACGATACAACTGATATGGTTTGCTGCCCATTTCACCCTGCAAGTAGAGCAAAGAAACTCCCAATGTTCATGCTTTGCATATTCCAAATGCACCATGTGTCAAGTTATCCTGGTGTCCCCCACTGTATCCCATGTAAACAGAAGCAACCCCAGGAGGGCTTTGCAAACTTAGATGTTGAGATTTGATTCAAAGGCAATTCATTCAAATTCCAAATTGGTTTTCTAAATCAGATCAACCCGAGGATTCAAACCAACAAAGCAAAATGTTGAATGGGTTCACCCTATCCCCATTTTCCACGTTCACAATATTGCATATGCAAATCTCTTGGATATGATCACCCCTCCCATTGAGATTAAAAAAAACCCAGCATTTTGATTCATTCTTGACATACCTGTTTCTCCCCACTTCGCTTCCTGTAATTCAGAAGCAGTTCCACAGCCCCCACCACTTCCTTCCGTATTGCATACAGGAGCGCATCTCCCACATAGACACTGTGGCTCAATAACAACTCCATAATCTCTAAGTTTTCGTTCTCTATGGCTATTAGAAGGGCACTGCGGCCAAGAGGGTCCATGCAGTTGATGTTGATGTTGTAGTAGATCTCCGCCTCCTCTAAGGAATGTTTCACGCTGGCATAGTCCCCCTTCTCCACAGCACTGAGGTAGGCCTTCTCCTCCGAGGACAGCTCCACTTCTGCCCGTACAATTTGCAGCGGGATCCGATCTCTATAGGGGGAGTAATTTACTTTTTTGTAATACAGCTGAGCCATTTTTCATAGCGACTGGGTGGCCTGTTTGGAAAACAAAGAAAGCAGGGTTTTATAGGAGACAGCTCCAAAATTCGTTATTGGGAAAGACTACATGCAGAACATTCCACATCAACTTTTCCTGAACCTAAAGTCCTCCAGATTTATGGGACTAGCTCTCCTGATTCCCAGCTAACATGTCCTTTATGTAAATACCATAGAAATCATACGCCCCTTAGGACTTTTGTTGACCCCTTGATTATCACTAGAGGGGGAAGATCATTTTCCATATTCTTTTATATTTGTCATTGTAGTGTGTTGCCTGGAGTATAGGATGAAACCTGAGAAGAATCAAACCAGGATTTCAGTTGGATCATAACACTTTCTAGAAGATTCATGGCCTGTCACTGCCTAAACCAAATATCCTCAACCAAATGCCCTCCAGACGTGTAAATTCCTATAATTTGCCCAACTTGCCCAACGAATGCCAGGGCACCAGCTTATCTGCCTTACTGAGTTGCTACAAAGGTAGGCATTATTGTCAGGATCAGGTCAGAGTTGGTGGGTTACCTCAAGCAATTCAGAGGAAGGATGGAATAGGAAATAATGTAGTGGCCAATACAACAAATAGCCATATGAAATGTTTACTACACAAAGTCAGTTGTAGTGTAATGGTTGAAGTATGGGTCTTGGATCAGAGAGATCAGATTCAAGTCCCAACTTAACCTCAGAGCTTCCTGGGTGATTTTGGGCCAGGCATTCTCTCTGAACTCAACCTATTCAAAAGGCTGTTGTATAAGCCACTTTGAATTCTCATAGAAAAGGGAGAATAGAAATGCAAGCTATAAAGAAAAGAACTCTCTCTCTACCCAGCCCTGAATCAGCTCTACTTAGATTAGGTGCAACTCCTCAAGGAGGTAAAGCACTGGTACCATTAGAGAAGACTTCAGTATAGTCCAATCAGCAGGAGGTCCTCCGAACACAGCTTATGCATTGCCACTTAAGGAGAAGGCTTACCTGAAACCACTAACCCCAGACTTTATCAACATCACTTACTAAAGATCTCTACCAGCCTAATTACTACACAATAATTCACCTACTACCTAGTGCTGAACTGAAATTTTCTATTCCTTTTTTCCAGCCAATTCTTAGACTGGTGAAATAGAATTTGCTTTAGAAATTCCTTTCGTGGGAGAAGAAAAAAAATCAGTGAAATTTTCACGGCCAGACTGTGGCATTTTCACTTAGTTACCAGATGCCCAAAGGGTGTCTTCCCTTGAACAGTCCTATCACTGGTGGTCTCCAGCCTTCCTGCATTTTCTTTAAATCCCAAGGGAAGTCACCTGGAAGGAGTTCCTCTCTGGATCTTGTTCAGACTGAGAAGAGCATTTGGCCAAGGAGGCTTTTGAGTGACATAAAGATCTGCCATAGAAAACCACATCGTCAGCAGTAGCACCCTCAGCCCACCCCAGAAATGAAGTAACATCATATATGCTACCCAGAATTAGACAGCTTGAAAAAGGAGCCTTTTGTAGAACTTGAATTCCAAGGCAGATTCAAGACCAGCATTCCTTTGCATTGAAGATGCCCAGATTTCAGGCTAGAACTTTCTGCATACAAAACACGTGCACTAAAATGCATAGAAACGATGGCAAATGCATGGAGGTCTAGAAACAGATAGGAAAGGTCAGAGGTTGCTGCCAAATCAATCTGAATGTATGCATAAGCTGAACACTATTTGATTTATAACCACGGGGCAGAGATCCTCAATACGTGTGAACTAACTGCAGTCACTGGAACATTAATGAAGTACTGACATATTTGAAGTGACACCTTCTTACAGTGTCTCACTAATGAGCGAGCATCTTTTCTATTACCTTTTCAGTCTTCTGATGTTCTTCCCAAGCACTCTCTGTGTGACCTTGCGGTAGTTTTATTTACATTCTGACACATTTAATTATTTTTAGGGCAACCTCCTCTCTTTTCACAACTTATAAATAAATCTTGATGAGGATTTCAGGGTACCGAAGGGCATGTTGATTTCTTTCGGTCCATTGAAGCCATCTTCAAGTGCAAGACAGTTTCCTCTTGAGCAAAAACTGAAAATTGAACACGAGTTCTTTCTAGCCATTAAACCTCCAGGGCATGTGGTCTCTAATCCCAAAGAGGAAGATAGAATAAACTGGGTCTGGAGGGTGATGATGGAAAAACTACCACTAGGGATTTTTAAGGTAAGTCCATACGTGCTGGAATTTTCTTTAAACTGCTTCCAGTGGGGCAGATAATTTAACATTGCACTAAAAACTACTTGTTTGGGTCTAAATAAAAGAACTAGAATAAATCAAAAGTTAAGCGTTCATTAAATAGCTGTCACTCTGTCGCCATCTTGAATCCCTCCAGCTTGACATTTCTAGAGAAATGCATTTGTTAGCAAAGCAAAAGGATGTTTCAATGCACTTGCAATTGTGTGATTCTGGGCAATGAAGGGAGATAGAAAATTTCTGGCGATGAATGTGCACCCCCAACATTCTGGAGATATGGCTATTCCTATGAACTAATATCAACCTGTGGTGTTGTCGTAGCAGGTGATACCTAACAACGAATCAGCGTTCGCTTACTTATTGTATTCATAGCCTGCCTACTGTCCAAGAATTTAAAGAATGCCACCATCCAGTTAGAGTAACCCTCCCAGTTCTCCACTTTCAAGGTCAGGCTTCTTCACAGCTTGAAAGTGATTGTATTTCCAAGCAAGGTTTTCACAGAGTTCTCTTGAGCAAGATTTATTGAGACAAAAAGGATGGGGTTACATGAATTCCAGCAACTGAAGTATTTCTCATTTAGAACCAATTTATCTCCATGTACAGTTGGGCAGAAAACTTTTTGATTGTCTTTCTAACCATCTTCCTATGATCAGTGAGCAGTTAGGTCTCTTCACTAGTACCAGGGAAACTTGCACCTAGTTGTTTACATAACAATCTCCAAAACCTTTATTAGTCTGGGAATCAACTCTTATATTCTGGATTAGAACATGTTAGCAAACCTTCCTTGAAGTACAGTGGTGCTGCGGCTGATTCTAATGTTGAAAGATGATGAGAAAGCAAGAACAATGTTGCACAGCAGTTTATGATGCTGGACTTGACCTGGGGACATCCAGAGACAAATTTCCACTCAGGGGCAGAGTTCATTGGATCTCTTCACACCCTCTTTCAGCCCCACCTATCTCACAGGAATTTTGCAGGGGGAATAACATTGGAGGGGTGGCCCACTTTTCCCACGTGCCCCTGCCTGATTTGCAAAGAAAAAATGGGATATACATTCAGTAATAGATAAAGTAGGTAATTCTGCACATTCCCCATTGTTGCCTGAATTTGCTGTCCCATTATAGTTTTACATGTCCTTCTGGCCATTACAACTGGCCCTACCACAAGCTGCAGCAACTTTCCCCCTGCCCCATCTCCCCAAAATTATATAATTAAATAATTCCCTGAACTTTAGAGGGACTGGTTGGAGCCTTTAAACTTGCACAGCCTCCTGAAGGTCTTCCCTGACCTCTCCACCTGGTCTGAGTCAACGTGCTGGGTTTTAAACTGATGTAACAGTTCCAGAGGGCACAAATCAAGACCGGTTGGCACTTCAGCTTAAGTGGGTTATGCTTGTTTCTGAGGCAACCAACCACTGTTCTTCCAACTGAACAAGAAGAAAACACACTGTGCTTCATGTCAACTATTTTTCATGACTGATGTTTTGTAGACATACCCAAAGCCAGCTCAGAATTGGAAGGTGGGAAAAATCACTTGATCCCGTGTGGTGTTCTGGAGAATGTCTCTTTTGACATGTCTTCCTTTTTCACCTACATACCTATTTCCAAAATTCCTGGTGGTGGGTGGAGGGTGAGGAGGGAGGGCAGAGATTCAAATGCAAATGGCAAAAATAAAATAGGATAAAATGCTATTATTAGATGTGAAGATCTGGATCAGGACCAATCTTTAGAGGAGGATAGATCTCATCAACAGGATGGAACCTCAATATTTCTTTCAGTACAGAGAGTCAACAATAAAGACAAGCACTTGCAGATATGCCAAATTTCTCATGACCTTCCCAGGAATATATAGCTGTGGACAATTTGATCCAGCAGAGACCAGACAGACCCCAACCACTCTGCCTCCTTGCTTAACTGAAAGCAGGGCAGGAATCTCCCCAGATCAGCCAAGTTCAGTTTGCCCAACAATTTCTTCACCAATACGTCATCGTTCACCTCTCTTTTGTGGCCACCAATTCTCCGGTTCCCAGAAGCGGAGATGCTGGCAGGTGGGATAACTGCCTGCCGTAGTGAAGTGATTATGTTTCCAACAAGTTTTCATATTAGGGAAAATTAGCTGCTAGTTGACTCTTGGGGCGTTGATGGTATTGAGCTGTTCTAAATGGAAGGATGCAAGATGGTATAAAGACATTTTCTTTTCATTTATGCCACCCTGCCACTAAAATCACAACGCAACACGTCCACGTCTAATGAGTTGCCATCAGCAGAGAAAAGGGGAATGGAACATGGGCTGCTCTGCTGCATCTGGCATGCCCATGTGAGAAAAAAGGGCTAAATTATTAATTTAATCCAACCGAGTTCATCTAAATTGTGAAAATTAAGAGACAATATTCTCTTACCCTCTCTTAAAAGTGCACATATACAAGTCACCAGGGCTGTGTAACACTCCAGATCTGAAGCCAGAACAGTGCTTCAGGGCATCCCTGAGCATGCACCAAACAGGCCTTTTTCCTCAATTGTGGGCAGTTGCAAAGGATAGTTGGAAGGTCCTGGAAAAGACACACCTGCTTTATGGAGCTGTAGACTCAGTGCTATGTTTGCAAGCTTTGTAGCCTCATTTTGCTGTTGTAATTGGAAGTACTGCACAGCCCTAGTGGACACACCAGATTGAGCTCTGGATCTTTATCTGGAGAGAAGAATTCAAGGGGAAAAGATCCCATTCTTTCTCATCTGTAGATGCGTTCCTACCTTGCGGCTTTCCTTTACA